TATCTACGTCGCAAACAAATCGCATCTTCGACATGATTGCGTTGAGCATGTCAATCGCGTGAAGCCTGTCGTCGTGGGGTTGGACATGTATAAAATACGTATTGCAATCGATGTGTTGATAGCCCATTAGCATTTTTATTTAGAACAACTTCAGCTTACGTTCGCCACTTTCGTGCAGCGCCCTGGCTGATTGTTGAGTTTGCTAACTGAGCCAACATGGTCTCCTAAATTTTACTGTAGATGTATCTTCGTTATGGTGGACAAAAAGTACGATATGCTATAATTATAGTGATTGGAATCACCATCTTGACACTTTACATAAGCTACAAGGTTTGTTTATACTTTACGTTCCCCACATCTTTTCTCGAATTACAGAGTGTAATCAATAAGCTTAGAAGATATGACAACACATTATTTGGTGAGGAGATGATTGCTGTCGTAGGAGTGGAAGCATGCAAGGCTAGTCCTCACAGCAATGAAACAGCCGAGTATGATGTATGTTGGTTTTCTGCTTAGAATCACTTTTCATAATATAATTTTCAAATGTTCAACGTCTATCGTGCACGAGTGGGTCGACACGGGACCTTACCTAATCAGAATAAACGGCAACAGTCCACAGACAAACTAAAAGTATTTGTGCTACCGTTCACGCACGTTGATCCAGGTAATCGTCTTAACGAAAAGCCTGCAGTAAATCTCCTTCAGCGCAGCTCGGCTAGGGTGCCCCCCTGCTGAAAGGGCACCTTAGGCAGGCATCCACTAAGCTACGATTGGGAGCGGATCGCTTTTTTGAACACAAAATAAGGGGTTATCAAAGAAAAAACATCTTCCAAACCTGCGCAGGTTGTGTCAGACAGGTAATTGACTGCGACTCGGTACTCAACACCATGGCTCGAGGCTCGGTAGTGGCTGAATTTTGCTGCATCGCAGAGCAATGTCTGAAAAGCGGTCACTACCACAATTGGAAAAATTGATGACCGTCGCCATCATTAAGTTCACTTAGCAAATGGATAGGTAAAGAATATACCCTAAAATCCCGCAGATAAGTCCGCCCGCAGATAAGTCCGGTTTTTTGACAAGAGAATTCGATGAGATCTATCTGGAAATCATAACAATCAATCAAAATCTACCTTTTTCTAGCCGGACTTATCTGCGGGACTTTTGGCGGCGCAAGCGCGCATTTTTATTGATTTTTCGTGACAAAAAGGCGGACTTATCTGCGGGATTTTAGGGTATATGCGATTTCTCAACAAAAGTGTCATCAAAAGTTGAAATGATTGGAACATAGACTGGATAAAGTAAATAAAAAAATGCTTGTTTCAAGCAGTTTCTAGAAAAACATAAGAGGGCTTTGCCAAAGAAAAAACTCTTTTTGTCTCTCTTCATAGACCAGCTGTTCATTGGTTCTCTCCTCCTTGAGCTCCCGGGTATTGTGTACTTTCGCGCTTCCTCTA